CATCTTTTCGCCCTCGGGGGTGCGGGACGTGTCGGGGCATCCTCGGATGCGCACAGGGAACAAGGGGGACGCGACAGAAGCGTCTGTTCCCGGACCCCGCGTCTGACACGGGTTGGGCACCAGGGGGAAAGGCCGGGAGCAGTTGATTCAGGTGATGATGCTCATCGCTCTTCCTTTAACATTACATTTTCCAACGCTTTTCCAGAGGCTGGTCAAACTCCCATCATGTAACTGCCTCTTCTACTAGTCAAGCAAACATACGTAACACCAAAAGCTGATCACACCACACATCCCACCAAACACCTGAACCCAAAATTGCTGTTCTGTCTCTCCTTAGGGATTTATGAATATTCACAGAAATTGAATGACACCCAGTCTCAAATCAGACCAAAACCTGCCCTTTGGACTGATGCAATTGATGATGAAAAGTGCACGGGACAACCTGGTCCTCGCTACCCTTCCCACAAGCCAAAGGAAACTGCATTTCACAGCAGCCTCCTGAGCGCGCTTCCACGGGCCACAGCAGTGCTGGGCTCAGAGGCAGCAGGGCAGCCCACGCCACATCCACCCTGAGCTGCTCCCGGGGCAGCTCAGCTCCAGCAGGCTCTCCGGCTGCATCCTAATGGCCTGGAGGGGACACCAAGGCAGCCACTCCCCTCCTGCCCTTGTTCTTGGAGCGCTCACCAAGCGTTTGGGAACGGTCTGTCAGAGACTGCAAAAATGGACCTTTGGCCTGACTTACTATAGCAGTGATTCACACCGTGGGGCTGAGGACCATCCCAACATCTAGGGCACCCAAGGCTTCCCTTGTGCACAGAGCCTGCCTGTGCAGCTATAGCCAGAGCCCAGCCCTCCCTCCCCTGCCACAGGCTGCAGCACCACAGACTCCCTTCTGCAGCAAAGGTATTTTTATCTCTCCTGACTCAGTAACAACCAAAGACAGGCACAGTTTGTCGCAGTCTTTGGGGTGGAATCGGTATGTGTTTTGCAGCTGGATCACAGTGTTACCATTTAGCTTAATCCTGCCAGTACAGCTGAGGGTGATGCTCACTGTGAACCCCTCCCTTGCAAGGCCACCACTACCTTCTCTACAGGTTTTTAAAACTCTCTGGATTTCAGCACAGAGCCAAGGATCAACATACGTCCTTCACCAGCCACTAATCTGCAATGCAAGGAAATAGCTAATAATCAAAACACTGGCTATAGATGATACAGGAGAAAGCTGTCAGACATTACTGGCACATACAGGGGCCTTAAAGTATCCTCTATTAGAGTCATCCTCTCCAAACAGCTTTGAGTGACAACAGACCCAGGATGCAAATTGTGGAGTTCTGAAAATGAAGTTTCATTACACACTTCCTTGGAAACCAAATTTCTTTTTTTAAAGGCAAAAAAAAAAAAATCACTAAAACTTCACATTAGAAAATAAACTCTTTGAAAAATGAATTTGTTGGAAATAAATAACTCAGTGATTTTCAAGAGTATTTTTACTATCAGAGTCAACACTTATTAGGTTTTGTATAATTCCACTTGAGAAGCAAGATAAAACATTCTGAATTTTCCTTTAAATTGTTGGTAGAGAGCTTATTTGTTTTTTGACATACTTGTTCCTTAATTGTAAGCTTCCCTCTTCCTAATTCTGAAGAACTGATTTATTTCCAATTGCACTTCAGAGTCACGTTAGTAAAAAGAGATCTCTGGATCCTGGAAAATTAAATCTTAAGAATGCCAATAAAAAGGTAAGCAAAACTACCCAACAGGGAGAGGTCCTATCTCATGGCTGTTATTATGAAAATGTGTTATAATCTGGGAGGTAGTTAGAAGATTATGAATTTTAATTTTAACACTACTTTGTGTTACAGCAATCTAACTCAGACCACTTACTGATTTTACACAAATCAGGTTCCCATTGTTGAGTGCAAAGCACTTTGTTGTTTACAAGCAAAGGAATACTGGACTCACCTACACTTACAGCCCTTCACATGTGCTATATGTGCTATAGTTGATCACACCAGAAACCTAGATTGAAAGAAATGTAAAAGCCATAAAGCTAGTGACTGAAAAATTAGGAAAAATATACATTATCTATTTCTTCCATACCTTCCCCTAAAATAAAGTACTGTTGTAATTAAAATTCATACAACCGCTTTTACATGACATAATTCTGCAATACATTTGTTCATTCTTCTGCCATTGCCTAACTTTGGTAGCTTGGCAGTACAAGCTAGAGCTCTTACCTCTGCTTTCTTCCTTTCTTTTGAAAACCAAAGAATTACATTTCTGTTGCACACACCACCTGGACCACAGTTTGGGTCATTGGGCAGGTCCAGATCTTCAGCTTACCAGAACATGAGATAATAAAGTAAGAGAGAGAAAGCCATGGTTCTCAGGAAGCCCTTGTCATTGCAGAGATGAGTCAACATCTCCAAGAGCAAACAAATGAAGTCATGGACCTGGAGATTCAACTCAAATCCCACAGGAAGCTGTTCTCTCCTGAACACCCTCCTGCTCCAGGTGCTTTTCCCAGCCTGTAGGTTCCACTCTTCTTACACCTTTGACTAGCTCTTGGTTCAATGCATGCTGTCCACCAGGGGCTCCTGCACGCCCACCTGGCAGCAAAGTCTCCTCTCCATAGCCCTTTAATTTTCCAACAGTTGTCTGTCTGAAGTCTACCTTAATGGGCACAATTGTGAGATACTATCTGCTGCATAATGGATGAAAAAAAGATAGAGATCTGAGAAGGAAACTCTTCTCCCTTCCACTTTTCTAAGTAAAGTCTTGATTTGGTTTTTTTATTATTTGTTTGTGACAGACATTTGCAAACTTTGCACGTCCAGGGAGCAATATACTATGCAGACGCCAGGAGGAAGGAAACTGCAGGGCTGTCTTTTTAAAATTTAATTTAAGGACATGATTTCACAGGATTGAGGTGAACTGAAAATGGAATGACTGGAAGTAATAGCTGAGCAATCTTTCAGTAAAGCACACAACCAGAGCAGCCTCTCAGTCCAGTATCATGTTTTTGTCAGTCTTGGGAATGCATCGCAGCCCTTACATTCTCATATGTTATTTTCATGTTGTTAAGACTAAATATGCTTTTATTGTTTCAGATTTTATACACAATATGATCTCTTTCCTCTAAGGATCCTACTTTAATAATAACCTGCAGTTATATTACACACATTAAAAAAAATATTCAAAGATGATACCCTATTGTACATGTCTCAAGAAACAAGGTGTTTGGGTTGCTGTGTGGTTAGTCACTGTATATTTTATTGTGTTCTGTTTCACTGTATAGCAAATTTAGCCAAATGTATATGCTCAGAAAGTCCTTCCTGGTCTGAACACTTTATGAGTGTATTTTATGGGCTCAGTACATGATTTTCAAAAGCCAATCAGTCAGATTGTGAAACTGAGCCCAATTTCCTCCAAAGCAGTTCTTCGTGGACGTTTGTTCCATGCCAAATAATTTTCCCAGCCATATCTTTCACAGAATTTTTCCAAAGGGGGAAAGGGAGCCCAAAATTTTACTTTTTTTTTTTTTTTTTTAAAAAAGGTGATAAGCTATTTTAATTTAATTTTCTTTACTTGTAGACATACTGTTGCCAGACATAGCCTCTGCCCACAGATAGATGTGAGGAGAGGGTAGGAATACTATTCAAAGAATGAACATTTTTATATCTAGAATTAAAAAGCAGGGTGGTTTTTTTAAATGTTTTGAATAAAACCTTAATAAAAAAAATTCAACCGAAATACTGGCTTCCTTTAAAGTATGATTGTGAAATTAAAAACAAATCTAAACTAAAGTTTAAATTATGGAAAAAATGTTGCCTGATATTGCTCCTAGAAATTACTGCATAAAAAGTGAGTTAATCTGGTACTGTATTATGCAATACAATTAAAATTGATTAGCATTACTTTGGAAGATCTATATTCACACTGATGTGCTTACCAGAAATACCCTGAAGTACCCTTGTTTTCATAACAAAGGAGAATACTCATAAAAAAGCTGAGAGATCTTAGGGGAAGCCAACAGAAAAGTTGTTTTTCTGTAGTGCTAATCCTGTATCCTACTGGTCACTGCAGCTGATTTGGAACTAGGTCAGCTGGCTTGTTTTGCTCCTAGTGGCATGACAGGTTGTAGGTTTGCTCCCAGCAGTTTCCAATATGGGCTGTGGGAAATGACAAGTTGAAACTGCACACTAGCAAAAAGCATCCACTGCGAATATTTCTCTCTTTCAACAACTGAAAAGACAAAATTAACATTTGCTGTTCTGGATAGTGGCACAAAAGGCACTTTTCAGTGTCAAGCACCATATATCTTTTTTTAGGGAGGGGGCTATTTTGGTATATAACCATGGATTTAGCTGGGGCAAAAAGAAAGAATTAAAATTC